ACAGCCTGAAGCTGAGGAGTCACCCCAACCAAGGTCAGGCCGTCTTCCCAAGGCAGCCCACAACCTGTGATTGGCTTACGAGGGGCTGGGAAGGCCCAGCCAACTCATCCAACTCAGGGCAACTCTGAAGGGCCATACCAGCTTCAGAATTTCTATAGGGTTCGCTGAGGCCTTTGTGAAGATAGCACCACAGCCCAACGTCTCCCTCAGCCCCATGCTGTTTCCCTCTCTCCTCTCTCCTTCTCGAGCCCCTTCTCTTCCACAGGTGGTGATCATAAGAATCAATCCCTAATAAAGCTCCTCTTCTCTAATCTCAGGAGTCTGCCTCCCACTGTGACACCAGGAAACAATGGCTCTAGCTCCTAAAATTTATTTTAGAACATGAAGATTTTTAATGTATAAAAAGAAACATAATCTAATAGTGACAAATAGATTAGTATAAATTAATCTATAGTGACAGAGAGGAGATCCCTGGTTGCTTGGGATGGAGGGCAAGCCGGAGTGGGAGGGAGGGATGCCAAGGGACCCCAGGAAACTTTCCAAGATGCTGGATATGTTCACTATCTTGATTGTGGTTTTGAAGATGTACACATGTATCAAAACTTATTAAAGTGTATACTTCAAAATATGTGCACTTTATTGTATGTCAGTTGTACCTCAATAAAGCTATTATATAAAAAAGAAAAGAAAAACAAGACATTATCTAAGTCTTAAGGGGAGTCTGAGAAACTAAGAAAAATTGGGCGTAATCCCTAATACTGCTATTTTCATTTTTTCTATTTTATTTTGTTTTTGTCCACATGCACACATATTTTATAAGGCATAATAGCAGAGTATATTATCTGTTCTTGGCAGCGATGTTGCCACTGGTATGACCTGATCAACTGTGAGATGTTCCAACTAAATTTGTTATTAGTCATATTTAAAATAGCCCAGTTTGCCAAGGTTTATCTCCTTTAATATAGCATAGAATATCCAAGATTGGAACCATAATAATGCCAACTTCACTCTCATGCATTTTGGTATGGTTTCTTAAGTGAGAAAGCCGGCACACAGAATTTCACACAACCCTTGGTAAATCCTTAGGAAAATGTCAGGCATTGAGAATCAGTGATGTAAATACTCAGTTGTGTCTTGACAAAAGTTATATCTTAAAACTGTGTCACATATATTGCTACATGGACTTCATGATTGACATTTTCCTTAAATCAAAGCAAAATATACAAATGGTAATAAATCATGTAAATAAGTCTCCTTGCAATTCCCTCCTCCTTTTCCCAGTACTAGTTCCTAGAGGCAGCTTTCTCTCTTTCTTAATTTTTCTTCTTTCCTGCCTCCATCTATCCTTCTTTCCTTTCTTTCTGGGTAGAGATTAAATTCACGTGGGTCAAAAATCAAAGAAGTATTAAGTATTATATACAAAGAAAACTCTCCCTCCTACCCTGCCCTCAGTCACCTAGATTCCCTCCTCAAAAGCAATCAGTTTTATCGGTTTTTTGTCTCTCCATCCAGCAGTGTCAACAAGCACATATGCGTATGTGTACACCTACACACTTAGAGGGTATTTCAACCCTTAAAAAAAAGATAGCAAGTATTATGCACTGTTTTACATCTTGTTTTTTACTTATCAATATATTAGCCAATATTAATATATAGAGAGCTTCCACATTCTTTTTAAATTTGAAAATATTATACATATTGGTGTATTGAATTAGTCCCTACCAATGAATGTTTAGGTAGTTTCCAATCCTTTGCTATTACAAACGGTACTGTAATAAATAACCTCATATCACATTATATTGAATGTAAGCAAGCATGTTTATAGTATAAATTCTTACAAATGGAATTGCTAGGTCGAAGGGTGTGTACGTTTGTAAAACAGAAAGATATTGCTAAACTGCCTTCCTTAGAGGTTGTTCCGTTTTATACTCCCACCAGTTACATAGGAAAACGACTTTCTACAAATCCTTGCCAACACCCTGAGTCATCAGACTTTTTGATCTTTGCCAACTTGACAGATGAAAACATATCAGAGTGTAATTTTTCACTCACAATTTAAATAAGTATGTACAAGCAGTTATTTTTATGTTTGAGAGTCATCTATATGTCCATTACTGTGAATGTTCTGTTTATTTCATTGGCCCATTTTTCCATTGGGCTTCTGTTCTTTTACTTTATTTATTTTTAGCTCTTTCTACATTAGGATAAATGGCTTTTTGATTGTGAAATGAACCCAAATATTTTTCCCAGTTATTTTTTGACTTATTGGATTTTTGCCAGATTTTTTTTGAGTTTTATGTAATTGAAAGTATAAAATCTTTTCTTTTAAGGTTTCTGCATTTGGTTAGCAAGGCTGTCTCTACTCCCAGATATTTTTTAAAAAAAGGTTTTTCCATAAGTTTCTCAGGTACTTTATTAGTTTCTTTCTTTAACATTTAAATATTTGATCCATCTAGAGATGATCCTTGTGTAAGGTGTGAGGTATGGGTCCAACTACATTTTGTTTAAACCTCCCAGTTGTCCCAATACCATTTACTGAATAATCTGTCTTACTGATTTGAAAAGACAACTTGTTTAAAGCATTTCAGGTTTCAAATATTTAATTCCAAATTACATGATTAAAGCTCTAGCGATGCTTCGAATGTAGACTATCATTGACTTGTCTATGAAAGATGAGGATTCGGTTTACATACACTGCCCCTTCCCTCCCTCCTCCAAAGTTTGATAATTACATCATGTTTAGTTCCTCTATTAGTTACTTTTGCTACCTTAAATAATTGACTTACACCACTATTTCTTGTTCCAACAACTCTAATCAGTACCCAGACACTCCTCTCAGCAATATGAAGATAACTGTGCATAGAAGTATACATATTTTTTGTTGTTGTTCCCACTCCATATTATCCACAACAGGGCCCAATCTAATAATAATAAAAATAAAAATAATAACAATAATAATAATAGTGTATGGAGGCGGGATGTAGAGACACATCAACGTTTTACCATTTTATGATTCTTAAAATAAGTACCCATGAGTCCCTACTGACATAAATAAATGATTCATTGAATGAATGAATGAATGAATATACAAATAAATAAATAAATGGGACAATTCTCCTTTCAGAAGAATTCCAACTAACAAGTATAGAAAAAACAAGGGAAATAGAAAATCACCATTACAACATCACAGAAATGACTGCTGCAGGTAAGACCCACTGATGAATGATAAAACTGGTGGGTGAAAGCTTAAGGGGGAACAGGACATTGCATAGCCTCCAAGTATCTCCCCGAAAATACTTCTTAATTACCATGGTGGTTTTAACATATGTCCACAAATTCTTGGCTATTCCTCCCTCCAGGAGGTGCCTTTAATTTACCTAACCCCTACCTCTACCCCCAGAGTGGGCTGCACTTAGTGACTCCCTTCCAAAGAACAGAGTATGGAAAGGGGGAAATAGTGAGTTTACAGTCAAGAAGCTTGACAGTTTCTCCATCTTAACCAAGTGGTCAAGGTTAACATCACCAGTAACATGTCATGTTGATAACAGGAACCCCCTGACACAGTTCTAGAAGGGCACTTCACCTCTGTGATATATTTCCCCAAAACCCATAACCCCAGCCTAGACGTGAGAAAACAACACACCCAAACTGAGGGACATTCTACAAAATACCTGACCAATAATCTTCAATAGTGTCAAAGTCATGAAACACAAAAAAAGGTCAAGAAACTTTCATAGACAGGAGGAGACCAGAGACATAACAACTTAATGCTATATGGTGTCCTGGACTGGATCCTGGAACAGAAAAGGGACATTAGTAGGAAAACTGGTGAAAGATGTTCGTGTTATGTAACATGTTCACATTAGGGGAAGCTGGATGAAGGGTATGCAGAAACTCTTTGTACTGTCTTTACAACTCTTCTGTAAGTCTAAAATTATTTCCAAATATAAAGGTTTTTAAAAATAAGTGATGATCTACTTTTAAAATAAAATCTTATATTACCCGGCTAAATTAGCTCTCGGATACTTTTAAACTAATATTAGTGGAGAAAAACAAAGTATAATTTTTCAGTTTCAGTGATGGTCAAACAATCAGTTTAATTTGCAAGTGGGTGAAGATAATATCATTTCTCATTCCATTTTATATGTTGTACCCTATGTAAAGGTTTACATTGTGTCTCGGTATTCTAATGGCCTATGGTCGTTTTTTCAACTAATACAAATGAGAAGAGGAATTTTTATTGCTACGGTTTTTCATTCATAAAATTACTAATATTAAAAACAATTTTAATAAAATTAAGTGGAATTTTTAAAAGTCTGTTTATTTGCAGTAAATGTAATCTCAATATAAGACAACATGACATATTTGCAAATGTAAATAGGGCAGACCATTCCCCCTTATCCCTCCAATTATCGGTTGCACTGAGGCCTCTCTCTCTCCTTCACTCGCTCACAAAACATGTATTGATTGTCAAATATGTTCCAGCATTGTGCTAAACTCTCAGAAAAACAAAAAATGTATAATCTGGGCACTTCTTACCCTGCACCAGTCCCAGGAAGTTCATGCAATTGCCAAGTAACACTAATAACTACATGTATCAGAGTCCTTTCATCCCTCACAAGTCTATATGAGGTAAGGGTTGTCGTTATGTATTCCCCTTTTTATTAGGGACGAGCAAACCGAGGTTCAGAGAGGTCAAGTGGCTTGCCAAAGGCGCACAGCTAAACGAGAAGCACGGCATGCATCTCAAACCACTTCCTTTTGCCCCCGACTCCACCCCGGGGAGAATAGCGTCTCCGAGGAGAGCGGGTCACCACACGTGTCGGCGCGCTCCCCACCCTCCCCGGGTCCCCGCAGGCGCAGCCGCCCCGCCAGCCCGCCGGACTCTGCCCGGGGCGGTTTTCCTCCGCGAGGCTGCGCGGCGGAGGAGGGGGCGGGCCTCCCTGCAGGCCGGAAGTTGGGGCGGGGCCGCCGCGCTCCGGTAAAAGGAAACGCGCGCCGTCGCTCGGCCGCAGGCCTGCTCGCTTCGCCTGCCCCCGGCTGCGGCATGGAGCGCCTGCCGCGGACCCTGGAGCTCTTCTATGATGTGCTGTCCCCCTACTCCTGGCTGGGCTTCGAGGTGACGCCGGGGGAGCCTCCTCGGCCGGGGCTTGGAGAAGAGGGCAGAGGGCAGAGCAAGCGCAGGGCCCAGGGCGCAAGGCCCGCCGTCTCGTGAAATTCCTGGCACAGCCCGATGGGGTTTAGGACAAGCAGATAGAGGGCCAGGGCTGAAGGGCACTTTGTGTTTCTAAACGGGACACGGTCGCTGGCTCTAGGTCGAGTCCTAATATCCTAAGGCAGTGGTTTCCCACGGTGTTTGGAAGAAGAGGGGTAACTCCAAAGAATCCCGGAGAAATCCGTGGCACCGACACCTCTTAGCTCTCCCATGTCAGTTTTAGGGGGTGGAGTGCACAACAGATGGAAACCGTCCCCAGAGCAGAGATCCTGGGGTCGACTTCTAGGAATGGAGAGTTTTGCAATTTCAAACCAGACAACTTTGGGTATGCGCATAACCCCTGCTCTGCGCTTAGAGCCTCTGGCTAATGCGCTGTCCTGAAACACCCTTGTGTTCCCTCAGCCGTTTTCACTCTTTCCGTCTTACACACTGAGTCTGGATCTTCACCTCTGCTCCTGCAGATCCTGTGCCGGTATAAGAACATCTGGAACGTCAACCTGCAGTTGCGCCCCACCCTGATTGCAGGGATCATGCAAGACAGTGGTACGAAGGCAGGTGCTGGGGGGGGAGCACCCCATAATGGGGCAGGGATTTGGGGGGGGCCTGATTTCAAAGGCCCAGGGGGGCTGCCCTCAACTGAATTTTTACATTGGCACCAGCAGCTAGTAATTTGCCCTCTGCCCAAAACCCGGCTCAGGGGTCCCCCAAGCCTGGGACCCATAGATTGTCTCTCAGTACGGTGCCCAGCTTTCCACTTGCAGGAAACAAGCCACCAGCTCTGCTTCCCCGCAAAGCCAAATACATGGAAAGTGACGTTAGGCTCCTGGGACAGCATCTCCAGGTTCCCATCCGATTCCCCAAGGAGTTCTTCTCTGTGATCCTTGAAAAAGGTGAAGAGAGTGGAATACAGATGGGGTATCAAGTGGAAGGCAGCGAAGTTGGAGATTGTAGGGCCAGAAAGGAGGGGCTGGGCAACTACATTAAATGAAACAAACCTTGGGAAAACACAAGATCCGAGTTGAATGAGCAGAAGGTTGTGGGGACATAAGAGGAGGAAGAGCAGGACAAATTGGCTATAAACACTTGTGTGGGAGGCTGAGGGCCATGGAGCTCTGGGGGATGTCAGAAGCAGGACAGAGCCCGTCCTCCGTGGGAAACAAGCTAGAGGAGCCCTACCTCTGAGTGCATCTGCCCCACAGGAAGTTTGTTGGCCATGCGATTCCTCACCGCCGTGAACTTGGAGCACCCCGAGGTGCTGGAGAAAGCGTCCAGGGAACTATGGATGCGCGTCTGGTCACGGGTGAGGGCAGGGCTCTGGGAACCCACTTGGGACACTCTGCATGACTTGGTGACCCTTCCCTAGGCCCATTGCCAGAGTCTTGGTTCTGCCCTCCCCTAGTGTTCACTGACCTGCTGTCCTCCATCATCCCCCACACATCACCACCCCCTTCCTGCTGTGTGTCTTCTTCTTCCCAGGATGAAGACATCACAGAGCCCCAGAGCATCCTGGCTGTGAGTGTCCTGGCTCTACTCCCACTATTCCATAGAGAATCAGAACAGTTGGCATTTGGGGGCGGAGAGGACATAGGTTCCTTATTCAATGGAAGAGGTCATAGTTACTTGGGGAGAAAGGATGCCTGTGTTTGAGGGGCCAAACTACCGAAAGGTTGGAATTAAGAGGACTCTCAAAAGAATATCTCTTTGTTGAAAGGGAAAGTGCAAAATTCTACATGGGTAGATTTTATTTGAGGAAAGAAGTCAGTGAGAGAGAGATGATATGTTGGCACCCCCGGAGGGGGAGAGTTGAAGTATTGGCAAGTCTTGGCCCCAAAGACTCCAACACAAACCTCACCTACACGTGCAGAGTAGAAAGCAGGAGACTTTAAAAACAGGCTTTAAAAAGACAAAAAGAGATAACTGACTCAAGCCAGAATTCTACAGAAGCCTGAGTGAGAACAAAAGGAAATAGTTCAAAACATTAAAATGTGTGCCAGCCATAGGCGGGGGTATAAAAAGTAAATTTTTCTTCAGGATTAAATCAGGAAATTCAAAACAATATTTTCCCTTTAGTTTACGAAAGATAGTTGAAGCATATTCAAATTTAACATATAAAATGGCAAATTACAAAAAAAGTTACACATACAGAAGGGCCAACATATCCTCCAGTGTTTTTATTCCTGTAAAGTATATGCATAGGCTTGCCTTTTCTCTTAATATTTAACAGTCATTTTCCATGCCATTTTAAGCTCTTTGAAAGTATAATTCTTAGTTTCTACATAGCATTCCATTCAGTGGACCTATTTTTGTTTACTTAACCAGTCCCCTACTGTTGAAGATTTGGTGTGGGACACAATCCTCTCATTTAGCCAAGTCAAAGACATTGTTTCATCAGAATGCATTGCATGACTTTGTGTTTCCCCTCCAGGTCGAGGAGGTCAGGTTGCCATGGTTCTCAACTTTGGCCGTATATTAAAAACACTTGGAGACCTGGACGTGGGCTCTGTCTCTCAGACATTCTGATGTAATTGTTCTAGGGAGTGGCCTGTGAATTGGGATTTTTACAAGCTCCTCCAGGACATTCTAATGTGCAGCCAAAGTTGAGAACCACTGATCCCAAACTATACCAACCATCCCCAAACTGACACTTTTATCATTCTCTTGAAGCCAAGCAGGTGGCCGTAGCTGTGTGCCCTGCTCAAAAGTCCTCAGGAAATTCCATCAGAATTAGAGCTTAGCCCTTGACTCAAAAAAAGCACAAGATTTTCCAGAATTCTGAGAAGTAGGAAGGCAAGAGCCACAGCCTTAACTTCAGGGGACTTGAATTCTGGCGTTGGCTCTGCTACTAACAATGCTGACCAAGTCATGTACTCCCTTTGGACTTCAGTCTCCTCACTGCTTAATGAAGAAGTGGGGAAGATGGTCTCTAAGATGCCCTCTGGCATTGAATTTCTGTAACTGTGACTCTTGGCCACCTGCTCTTGCCACCAATCTCAAGATTTTAAAGGAAGAAAATAGCCCCTCTTGGCAAGGATAGACCTCCACTCGTGGTGGGTAATGGCACTGCCAGGAAAACTTGGGGGCAGAAAATAAAAAGACCAGAGTTTTGGAGGCCGGCCCAGTGGCACAGTGGTTAAGTTCACGCCCCCTGCTTCGGTGGCCTGGGGTTTGTGGGTTCGGATACTGGGTGCGGACCTACACACCGCTCATCAAGCCATGCTGTGGTGGCGTCCCACATACAAAATAGAGGAAGATGGGCACAGATGTTAGCTCAGGGCCAATCTTCCTCACCAAAAAAATAAAAAGACCAGGGTTTTCTCCTGGGATCCCCACCCTTGCTAATGCAGACAGTTGTGTTCCCTATCACATCCCCTCAGGCTGCAGAGAAGGCTGGCATGTCCACGGAACAAGCCCGAGGACTTCTGGAAAAGATCTCAACACCACGGGTGAAGAACCAGCTCCAGGAGACCACCCAGGCAGCCTGCAAATATGGGGTGAGCCACTCTGTGTGTCCCTAATCCCAGTGCTGAGACACAGTCTGAGAATCTCTGCTGGGTCCCCACACTCCTGTGCAAAGTCTGTTCCCCAACATGAGTCCCCCCAAGCTCTCCAGACAGCCCTCATCCTCTCTCTTCCTGTCCCTGAACTCAAGGAAAGGAAAGGAGGGAGATAGATGGTGAGAGACAGAAACAGAAAACTCTCCTTAGAACCGTGGAGCCTCTTATCAAACACCTCTGGCTGCTTTGCTTCTGTAACCTCAGACAAGTATTGACTCGCAGCCTTCAACCCTGGCCTAATAAACACCTGCTCTGTCACCTTCCTCCTTGCACTGTAACTGCTTTCTCCAGGCTTTTGGGCTGCCCATCACTGTGGTCCACATGGGTGACCAAACCCACATGTTGTTTGGCTCTGACCGGATGGAGTTGCTGGCATACCTGCTGGGTGAGTTACAGGTTCATGGTGAGCTGCCCTTGACCCCAGCCCTACCTGCATTATATCAGTTGACCAGAAGGACAGATTCAGAGCAAACTATGTTCTAGGCATTTCCCAACAATGAGGCCTCATACAGACACAGGGGTGCTCGAGATTGAATGGGAAGGGGCCACCTTCATCCCCATAGGAGAGAAGGAAACCTTCTGTACCTTGAAGCCAAGCAGAGCTCGTCCTAGAAAACCGTTGGGGGCTTGTGGGGCCAGCTTCTGACGTATGTGTGTTTCTCTATCCAGGAGAGAAGTGGATGGGCCCTGTGCCTCCAGCCATGAATGCCAGACTTTAAGGATGCCCAGAGGAAGCAAAATTATTGGTATAAAAAAGCAGACCAGGGGCCGGCCCGGTGGCGTAGCAGTTAATTGCGTGCGCTCTGCTTTGATGGCCCGGGGTTCACAGGTTTGGATCCCTGGCGCACACCGATGCACTGCTCGTCAAGCCATGCTGTGGTGGCGTCCCATATAAAATAGAGGAAGATGGGCATGAATGTTAGCCCAGGGCCAATCTTCCTCAGCAAAAAGAGGAGGATTGGCATCAGATGTTAGCTCAGGGCTGATCTTCCTCACAAAGAAAAAAAAAAAAGCAGACCATCTCTGTACCCCTCCTCCACTGTGGGGCACTGGGACTCTTTCCTTGTCTAATAGAGATGCTTCTGTGGCCCTGGGGGATGCCCAGAGGGCTGAGTGGTACATCTACTGTTACTCTCATGGCTGCTCTTACTTCTGTGCTTCACAAGTGCCTTTCAAGAGCCCCAAACTCTGCTTTCCCACAAAGTAAACCTAATGCCATTAGCTGTAATATTCTTGGGTCTGTGTCTTCCCTGGTATTTGTGTGTTCTTGTTCCTGCAGTCACATCCTGTCCACTCTAGGTGTTTGAGAAGAACAGCTCTTTCCATACTCCCAGCCCCGTGGGCGGCTTGCATGGAAGGAGCAGGAAACTGTCCCTCTTTCTTTTCTACAGAAACTCCCTAGATCCCTCTGTCAGGGACAGAGACTAAGCCAGATGGATTTTGCAACTAAGTAGTTTGGCACTTACTGTCTTCTGACCAGCCACGGTGCCTGAGATGAGACTGGGACTAGAGGCCCAGTGGGAGTGAAGATTGGGCATGACTGAGCTTGCGCCCAGGTATTTAAACCAAGTCCAGCTACACTGACCAGCAGAACCAGGGCAAGGTGGCGCAGGGAGAGCAGCTGGTGTTGCCATAGCCTGGAGGAGGGGCTCATTCCCTCATCCATGGTGCAGATCCTGAGAAAGGCCCAGGCCTCTCCCTGGCCTAGAATAACCCCTGATCCTCCCACACAAACCCATAGCTTTCCCACTCCCCCAATTATTTATCCAAAGTCCTGCCTCCATCTGCTCCCACTGTGCAATCATCAGAATACCTGGTGTTTCAATAGTATTTGGACTTCTTTGAGAACTCTCTTTATTCAGAAGCTGAAACCACACTTGGACGCTTGTTGGGAACCAGGTGCGGAGCCTTCAATGGCTCGAGGGGCTTTGGGAGGGGATGCCATCTTCCCTTTGCTCCCTCTCTCTGGCTCTTTCTCATCTCATATCCCATTTTCCCCTTTTGTGCCCCATCACCTCCTGTCTTCCTCCTCTCTTCCATGATTCCAGCATACCCCAGGATTTCAAATCATCCTGACCAGGTTCATCTGTGATATAATACCAGAAGTACTTCTCCAAATAAGCACTCTCTCCTTCAAAGGAGATGTTGTGACGTGTACAGCTAATATAAAAATATAGGAAAATGTCCAACCTTAAGAAATATAAGGGCAAGTTAAAACAAATTGTAACTTCTCATATATCAAAGCTGCCCAGCGTGTGGTGAGTAGAGACAAAGTTTTATGAATAAAGATGCTTGTCTCAGCATTATTTGTGACATCAGATAACTTAAATATCTAAGAGTAGGAGGATGCTTGAATAAATTATGGTACATCCAGGATATAATGTTTCCTAGCCATCAAAAATTGTATTTGTGGTTCCGACCTGGTGGCACAGTGGTTAAGTTTGCACGCTCCACTTTAGTGGCCCAGGGTTTGCAGGTTTGGATCCCGGGCACGGACCTATGCACCGCTCATCAAGCCATGCTGTGGTGGCGTCCCACATACAAAATAGAGGAAGATGAGCGCAGATGTTAGTTTAGGGCTAATCTTCCTCAGCAAAAAAAAAGGAAGATTGGCAGCAGATGTTAGCTCAGGGTCAATCTTCCTCACTAAAAAAAAAAAAAAAAAAGTGTGAAAAATTTTAAAGAACATTGGAAATTCTTAGGATATAATATTGATGCAAAAAAGATGAAACTATGTATAGTATGATCTTAATTATATCTTGATGTATAAAAATATATTACACTACAGAGGACATTAGTATATTAATCCTGGAATAAAACATGTCAAAATGTTTCCATTTTATTTGTATACTTTTTTAAATGATCATTTATTCTCGTAAACAAACATATATGTCAATAAGAAAATACAAGGATTTGTAGATTCACATTTGGGTACAATTGTGCATCCTTCCCATTGTTTTCTAAACGTATCAATTGCTTGACTTAATCCTAAATCTTATCCCAGGCTAATGTGGGATAATCTGTTATTGTAGTTGCATATTTCCCAGCTCTGCCTTGTCTTCTTCAAAGACTCTAGCATCCTATTTTCCTAATCCAATAGCAGAATTTAATCTTGTCTGGAGGGATGAGACAATTTCTGAACTAATCCTTACATACATGATCTAGATCATAATCTCTGAACTCCTTCTGCTAGATAGAATTCAAAATGAGTATATTAGTGAGGGTTTTCCAAAGAAATGGAACAAATAGGATATTTATAGATACAGAGAGAAATCAGAAAGATTATAAGGGATTGGCTTACATGATTATGGAGGCTGAGGCATCCCAGATCTGCTGTCTGCAAGATGGGGGCCCAGGAAAGCCAGTGGTGGGTGCTATATTTCCAGTCCAAGTCCAAAGGCCTAAGAACCAGGAGCTCTGATGTCTGAGGCAGAATATGGATGTCTCACTTACAGCAGAGAGAGCAAATGCAGCCTTCCTCTGCCTTTTTCTGTTCCAGCCTTCAATGGATTAAATGATGCCCACTCACTCAGTCCACCTTGCAAATGCTAATCTTCTGGAAATGCCCTCACAGACACACGCAGTTAATGTTTTATCAGCTGTCTAGGCATCCCTCAGCTCAGTGAAGTTGACACATAAAATTAAGCATCACATCAAGAAAGGAAAAAGCCCCCAAATGCAGCTGTATTTTTTAAAATAAAGGAACACTCTTCTAATCCAAAGAGAGTCTCATACTTATTCTTAGTTTCTCTCTCTTCTCCCCTTCTGATCAACAGTTGTAAGGTGATATAAAATTTGCAATTATATCCAGACTCAGAATTCAATCCTGAACCACTTGCTTACAGTGTAATTCAAATTCCAAGCTTAAAAAATAGCATTATGCTTCCAAAACACAACCTTGGGTAAAATTCCTAGAAGTGGTTTTTTTTCTTACAATGCCAAAACGCAAGTGGTAATTAACAACAACAAAAAAGTAATGCATGCACGTGGTCAAACAAACAAAACAAAAACAGAAAAACAGAGCAAGGTGTCAAGTGAAAAGTGAAGTCTCCCCCTTCCCACTCCCATTCTCACTCTCCAGTTTTTTGTGTGCTCCCAGAAATGTCTATATTTTCTAACACGCAGATGTCAGACATAATGCACAGAGATACTGTACACGTTTCATCCAGTTTCCCCAGTGATAACATCTTGCATAACTATGCTGCACTAACACCACCAGGAAATTGACATTGATACCATCCATCAACCTTGTTCAGACCTCACTAGTTTTATATGCACTCATTTGTGTGTCTGTATTTAGTTCCATAAAATTTTATCACCTGTAGACTCCTGTGACAACCACCACAGTCAAGACACAGAACATTTCCAGCATAAGGATCCTTCATGCCACCCTTTTGTAGCTATAGCCACCTCCCTCCCTCCTCACTTCCCTAACCCCTGGCAACCACTAATCTGCTCTTCATATAGTTTATCATTTCAAGAATGCTGTATTAATGGAATTAGATTGGCTTGTTTTCACTCGGCATAATTCCCTTGAGATGCGCCCAAGGTCCTTCGTGTATTGGTCCTTTGTTCTTTTTATTGCTGAATAGTGTTTCATGGCATGGAGGTGCCACAGTTTGTTTAACCTGTCAAAGGACATTTAGGTTGTTTCCACTTTGGGCTATTCCCAATAAAGCTGCTATAAACATTCATGTATAGGTTTTTATGTGCAAATAAATTTTCATTTCCCTGGGGTAAATGCCCAGGAGTGCAGTTGCTGGGCCATATGGTAAGTGCCTGTTTAGTTTTGTAAGAAACTGCTATACTTTTCCAGAGTGGCCATACCATTTTACCTTCCTACTAGCAATGCATGAGTGATCCAGTTTCTCCACATCCTCACCAGCATTTGGTGTTATTACTATCTTTTATTTTGTCCTTTCTGATAGATGTGTAGTGATGTCTTATTTTGACTTGAATTTGCATTTCCCTAAGGGCTAATGATGTTGAACATCTTTTTGCTTGCTTATGTGCCATCTGTGCATCCTGTTTGTGAAATATCTGTTCATGTCTTTTGCTCATTTTCTAATTAGATTGTTTTGAGAAGTTTCCATATTGTTTTTAATAACAGATTTTAAAAGAATGTACAAATTGTAAGAACACATTTTTGAGACACTTGGGGGATAGTAACATGGACTGGGTATTAGGCGATATTAAGCAATTAGTGTTCATTTCGTTAAGTGTGATAATGGCAGGGTGGCTGTGCACAAAAAAGTTCTCATCAGTTGGAATTGCACTCTGAAATATTTAGGGTAGAAGTGGCATGATGCCTTTTAAAAGGTGGCAGAGGTGGAAGGAATAGACGAAACAAGAGTGGCAACCGTTGATAGTTCTTGAAGCTGTGTGATAGGTACATGGGGAGTTCATTATACTATCCTTTCTTCTTTTACATGTTTTGGGATAATCCCCTAATAGAAATGTTTTTAAAAGAGAACGTACTGGGGGCCAGCCCAGTGGCGTAGTGGTTAAGTTCGCACACTCCACTTCAGCAGCCCAGGGTTCACGGGTTCAGATCCCAGCTGTGGACCTACACACCACTCAACAAGCCATGCTGTGGTGGTGTCCCACATAGAAAATGGAGGATGATTGGCATATGCTAGCTCAGGGCCAATCTTCCTCACCAAAAAATAAAAAATAAAGAGAATGTACTGAGATTGTGATTCTGTGATATTACATATTTTCACCATATCCCCATAGTACTGTGCACACAAGGTTGGCTTCATGGACTTGCAACCCACGTACTCACACAGGGCCTCACAACTGGTTTAATGCTCTGCTATCACTCCTCAAAATTCTTAATAATTTTGAACAAGGGGCCCCGCATTTTCATTTTGCACTGGACTCCACAAATTATATAGCTGTAGCTGATCCTGTAAGCACATAGCACATGCTAAGTAAATGCTTATCAAATGAATGGAACAAAGAAAAGAGAAGGAAGTGAGTGATAGAAGGGAAAAAGGAGATGGAGGTGGTGCCAGGGAAGGGGAAATTCCCCCCTTCTACCCTTCTTGTGTTCTGATGGCTGGACTAATGATAAAATTGACAAAAGACCAGATTAACAGGAGAAAAACCGAGTTTAATATGTCTGTATTAGAGATCATAGAGAAATGATGCTCAAAGAGTGAATAAAGCAGGGAGTATATATATCTTTTACACAAAGAAACTACATTTGTGAGGAACAACAGGACAAAGAA